GTTTTAAAAGATCCTTTTGCAATGGCCCAAATATTTTGACGTATACTTCATTGCGAAGTAATTGGGCCAGTTCATCAGCATTTAACTTTCTTAATCTGTTTGGAGAGAGAAAGACTTGTGCAAAATACTAACGGGGTTGGTCCAAGTGGTAAGTGGTTTGATATCTTTTAAGTGAGATTTCGAGTTCGAGTCTCAGCGGATGTAGAAATTCCCATTGGGAGATTCACCCACCACAACCAGATGCGCGATGTAGATCAGATCCAGGTGTAGTCAAAGCAAAGCTTCGATAAATTAGGTGGGCAACAAAAAAAAAAAAAGACTTGTGCAAATTAGCTAACGCATCATGCTCCCGTGATCATTCTGGACCATGCACTGATCAGCTACCCTTCTTCAACTATTTATTTCTATCTAATTTTTTAGATAATTGATATATTGATAGATTTTATTAACAGCTTGTGCAACAAAACGAGTAGTTGTTTGTTGGGTGATAATATATAATGGGCAGTTTAAAAATAAAAGAAGTTATGTTCTCAGTCATATTAATGTTTTAAGTCACAAGTTCTTACGGTTTGTGAATTTTGGTTTTGGTTCTTGTAGTCTCAAACCACGGTTTTTAATTGTTATAATTTCATAAGGTATTGGTTTAAGTTAATGCGATTAAATTCAGACAAAATTTTTACAAAATTATAGGGATTAAAAATCATGATTTGAAATTATAAGAATTGAAATCAAAATTTGATGAAATTGTAAAGATAAATAATAGTATTAACTAGAGGGGGAAAAAAAAACGGAAGTCATAGCACATGGATTTATGTATATCTCTTTGAATGGTATTGAAGTACAAAAACAAAAATAAAAAATAAACATAAAAGCAAAACAAGTTGCTGAGCCTGCTGCGTTATGCATATCTATAATCAAAGACCATTATGAGTTTTTTATGATGAAAACTACAAGAAATCATTTTTTTTTTAAAGATAGTGGATAGATGCAAAACAATTATTGGAGATGGGAACCGGCTTGAATCATGAAAGTGATGGTTTTTTTCAATATTTTTTTCTGCGTGAGTGAAATGATGCAATAAAATATTTGAAATTTGGTCAACAAATATTTGAAATAATATAATTTTTTTATTCTTAATTTTTTTCTTGAATTAATCAATACCTATATTTTAATTTGAAAACTGTAAAACTACTCATTTTTATAGTTTCCTAACTCTTATAATTGTTTTATTCAATCTATAATTTATAGTGAAAAAAGTTAAACATCTTAAAATTTTACTACAATTTAAATCATCCAATATATTTTTAATCCATATATGCACTAACATGACCTGCAAATACATTTTTTGTTTTTTTGGGTCCAATACATGTAGATTTAATAAAAAAGTTCGAAGAGCGAGCCAAAAAAAAAAAACACATGGAAAAGGGTCAAAGCATAAATATCTTGCAAATCCATTTTGGACATTTCGCGGGATGCTCCCACAGAGGGCGTATTCATGCCACGCGCAGACCCTCGCTCCCTTCAAATCAAGGATGTCTGAGCCATCGATCGCCAGGGCCAAAAGCATCGTCAATCGTTATGTTCTGCACGCGACTGCTAGGAGCGTGATCATTTCTCTCTAACACACAGTGTAATGCGGCAAATGGATTTCGTCATTAGGCCCAATGATATCCAAACGGATAAGCTTCTAGGTTTTCGGTGTCAGGCTTCTCTCTTCTTTCGGCCTCTCTCCCAACTTCATCATCATCTTCCATTTTCCCCCAGTGCAGGGTTTACTTCAAAACGCATCATCATCATCTCCCCCCCCCCCCCCCCCCCCCCAAAAAAAAGGAACTGGTTACTGTATATATAAAAACAGCAAAATTACAAACAAGGAACACTAGGAAGGAAAGGCAATAAAAAAAAAATTCCTCATCAACTACGGGCCTATTCATTAAGAAGTGAAAGTTGACTAAGGATACAAAAATTTTAATTACAATCTAATCTGTCATCTATGTGGTTTCTAGCCGACATGATAGAATTTAATATGTCAATCCTTGTGAGTTAAAAGTCTGGCCTCTTCAATGATATCCCCAGAATGATTATTTCACTAAAAAAAAAAACTGATAATATGGATTGGGTTCCCCAAACCAAAATACGAGTTTTTTATGGCGCACCTTTTTTTTTTCACTTTTTTATTTTAATTTTAGTAAAATTTTATCATTTTAAATTTAATCTACATATAAATCTGTTTCGTGTTAATAATTTGATTTCTTACTTTGTCTTATTAATTTATTATTCTTGTGTTAATAAAATAATCATGTAAAATAGATTATATATTTATGTTTACAGGTTTTAGAGTTAATTTAATTAATTATGTAATTTTATGAAAAATAAATTAAATTAAATTTTGTCTATAAAAATTTAATTAAACCTTCTATGGACAATGGGTTTAAATTGGCAGGACCCACTGCAAGCCAACCTATTTTTTTTGTTAACAATTCTAGGATTGAAAAACTATAAATATGTTTTTAAAGTCAATGGATTAAATTGAAATCTTGTATTAAAAATAAAAGATCAAATGTATACTTTAGTTATCTGAATTTTATTGAGGTAACGTGGGAAAGATTATGGTGCTAGTGTGCTGCTCATGGTTGAGGCTTTAAGTAGAGGGGTGTTTTTTTTGCCGAAAAAAGTAGAAGGTTTAATATATGTTTAATTATATGTAATATGATTTTTGTTTTGATAATTTTTTATAAGAAAATTACTTTGGTAGAAATTTGATTTAATATTACAAGAAAAATACAAAAGCTAAACAACAGAATCTCTAAAGTTAGGCTTCTAACCTAACTCACTCATTGGCCCAAAAAACTCGCCTCCAATTGCAAACCAAAACATAATTTTTGGTTCCAACTCACTTTTATTAGCCCAAAAGTCAATTTGGGACTTCTCACCTGCAATTCAAACAAACATTGTTAGCTAAGAATATAGAATTGATTTTCTGGTCTTAATTTCTCATGGGAAAATTATCATTAGGTGCTGAGAAAAGAATTGAATCACCTAAAAATCTGTCAATAATGTAGGAAATAAAATAATTACATGCAGCACACTTATCATTGGGATACTTGGTGATTAAATCCCTTACTGGGACATGATAATTCTCTCATTTTTCGTCTTGGATTTTAATTGCAGCTTTCGTCTCTTGTTTTTTTTTTTTTATATTATACTACCTCTTGTTTTTAATATAAGAGTTCACTTGACTTTTATTTTAATTTTAAATATAAGACATCAATCCACTTTCATATTTACCTATTTTTCTAAAAGTAATCTCAGAATAATGGTAATTCTGATCAATATACTTGATTGGTAAGTATATTTTTAAAAAAATAACACTTATTATGATAAATAATTAACTTAATTATTTTTTTAATACATTCAAATCAGGCAACTAATTCTTATATTAAGGATCTGAGATAATAGGTTGCTTTTATTTCCAAAAAAAAAAAAAACAATCTTAGCCCGATCTGAAGAACAATCTAAGGCAGCATCGTATCTTTTATTGAAGTACCGAATCTTGTTATCACTCAGACATCTAAACTGAAACCTAATTTTGGCCCAAATAAACAAAAAAAGCTATCCTTCAGCCTATGGTTGTCTCAGCCAAGAGTTCGTACGAACTTCTGAAAATAAGGTTATTCATCCCATGCTATTTTTCTTGCTGCTGTTAACAGTTTCCTTTCTTAGAATGTCCCGACACAACTACATTTTTAATCCTTTTCTTTTATATATATAATCTTTTATTTTACTTTACGTATTTATTTCAGTTGTTTCTCTTCTCAAATCCTTTTGCTGTCCTTTGTAAAGAGTCATCTTTTCATTATTCATGAGTCACTACCAATAAATGTCTTAAGAATTGTATGCCTATCCATCTCTCTCTGTTTTCAAAATCAACGCAAAACTTTAAAATTATATGTATTTTCCTTTTACTTTAGCACGTACGGACTGAATTTCTTTGCTCCCCTCCTTCTGCATCCCCTTCAAGGCACTCATTCACAATTCACATGCAACATAAAAAAAAAAAAAGATATTGAGGAAATTAAAAGAAATTATTGCAGAAAAATTGAACCATACATACATTTCTCTATTGAGAAAAAATATTTAATTTGAACATTAGTTTAGAGAGTTATGTATAACTTGTTTTTTCAGTTTAACAAAATAATTTTGCAGATTAAAAATAAAAGGTGGTGTACTCTTAAAATTTCTTTTTGAAATTTATTTTTCCTCCTTGAAGGAATGCATATGTTCTGAAAAATAATGAAAAAGTTTGTAAACTTCTCCATTGGGACCAACTCATCTTGGTATATATACAATTATTTTTAGTACAAAAATAATTCGAATTTTTGAAAGAATTTTAAATAATATTAAACAAAAATATTATTCAGCGAGTTTGGTGGTAGGCTCATAAAATCAATTTAAAAATTAAAAAAAATGATTAACCTGAGGAAGAATCCGTCAAACTAGTTTGATAACAAATCGATTTTTTTTTCCAATATTATTTCATTCGCAATAATATGTTTTATATTGTACAGGCACTACTGGGAGGATTTGGGCCTTCATAAAGCAATACATCTCATCTATACGCTTGAAAATAAATAATTATACATTCACTTTCCGGTCAAAAAAATAATTATACAAACATCATCTTGGACGAGTTAATAAAAACCCTAGTACTTTGTAATAAGAAATCTTCGCAAACATCATCTTTACCGTCACTTAAAATCTAACGGCTTGGCTTCAGCACTCGTGCTTATCACTACACTTCCACACCGCCCTTTACCATTCGCAGTCTCCTCTCTGTTTCTCTCCTAACATGGATGAAACCGTGGTCGATCTTCATCGTTATTTGCTCTGAGTCCGGTCCTCATATCACCATCTAAGTCTTAAACCGCGAGTGCAAACTCCATGCTTCACAATACAAGGGCAGATTTTCCATTCGCCCCCCTGACAAAAACTGAGTAATGGGCTGCCATAATCCTCAAAAATATAAACTTTTTGTAGCTTTAGCGAGAAAACTGTTCACACTTTAACCATTTTTTAGCTGATTATGTGCTTAAAGTTGCAGTCTTTGTGCAGTTACTGTGTGTGTATTTATATTTTTTCACTGAGTTCTATCTAACGTTCACCGATGAGTTCGGGGTCTGATACTAGTTACTCAAAGATGATGTCAGGTGTAGCGATTCGATCGATGTTCCAAAACTCTGATTACGGCGAAGATTTGAGTATGCTGATTCGCCAGCAGAGGCGGCAGCAGCATCAAGAAGCAAGTGAGCGCGAGAGGGAGCTTAACATGTACAGAAGTGGGTCGGCGCCTCCCACCGTCGAGGGCTCGCTTTCTGCTGTTGGTGCCCTGTTTGACACTTCGACGATGGTATCAGGTTTCGGCAAAGGTGGCGGCGGAGGAAGGGGTTTCACGAGCGAAGAGGAGCTTCGTGCTGATCCAGCGTATGCAAATTATTACTATTCGAATGCGAATCCAAACCCACGCTTGCCGCCGCCGTTGGTGTCGAAAGAGGACTGGCGTTTCACTCAACGTTTAAGTGGCGGGATTGGAGACAGGAGGAATGGAGACAGCTCGCTTTTTACGGTGCAGCCTCCGGGTTTTGATGGGAAGGACGAGAATGTTGTGAATAAAAGAAAGAGTGCGGCGGAGTGGGGCGGCAATGGGTTGATCGGGATGCCGCCGATGGGACTTGGGAGCAGGCAGAGGAGCATTACAGAGTTAATTCAAGTGAGCTTCTGTCAATTTCTTACGCTTTATGCCGATTTGTCTTTTTTAGACTGTTTAAATTGATAGTTGTAGGTACTTTGGTTTGGATTGGATTTCTTTAGCTGTGGGGTTTGAATTTCATCTTTGGGTTTATTTGTATGCTTCTAGTTTTCATGCGTATAGTAACTCCACAGCCTTCTATAAAGGTATAATGACGGGATTTGAGTGAGTGACCTAATCCTTATGAGGAGGAAAGCAATGCATAACATCCTTCTGCACTGAGTTCCAGTGAAATGGCTTCACATACTGAATTGGGATGTTCTGACGCGTTCTTTATAGATGGATTGACTTGGGGCTAATAATTGCTTTTTGTTATTGTTGTCCCACGTTTTTTCCCCCTTCCTGATTATTCTATTGTATCTTTACTATCCATTCCCATGTTTTTCAATCTTCAGCGAATTTCTAATTTTTTTACCCGGTTTTCATGTTCTAAGTTGATCGTGCTTTGAAGACTTCGTAGGTAGATGTATCAAGTTTCATTCATTTGAGCTACAATTTTGTGGAATAATTTTCGTTGTGAATTTCTATCGATATTATTAATTGAGTATGAACTAACATCGTTTGTTTTGCTTAATAATTTTGTTGCCTGTATGTTACTCCTGTATTGTCATTCTACTTATACTTTTCCTGCTTTTGTTTTACCATTTTTCCAAAGCAGGATGAGATAAATAGTTCATCATCTCTATCTAATCATCGCCAGCCTAGCTATAACGTATTTGATGACAGTGCTGATAACCCAGAAACCCATTTTGCTCAGCTGCACCAAGATTTGGCGGCTGCAGATGCTTTGCGTTCTGGTGGGACCACACTGGGCATATCTGGTGCCCAAAATCTTGGTGGATCAGCTTCTCAAACATACGCTTCTGCATTGGGAGCTTCCTTGTCAAGGAGCACTACACCTGACTCTCAACTTCTAGCTAGAGCTCCTAGTCCTTGTCTTCCACCCATTGGGGATGGGAGGTCTAACTGTAATGATAAAAAATCTTCCAGTGGTCAAAACTCATTTAATGCTGTATCATCCAGTTTAAACGAGCCTGCAGATCTGGTGTCTGCTTTGGCTGGCATGAATCTGTCCTCGAATGGCATAGCAAATGACGAGAAACATTCCAGTGGGCGTAATGAATCTGAGCACTCTCATACTATCAATTATCATGCATTCCTCAACAAGCCAGAACCCCTTCCTTATCAGCTTCACTCTGCTCCCCAGTTGACAAAAGCATCTCACTTGAAAGTGAATAATAGCAGTGGTTTCAGAGTGGATCTAAATAACTCTTTAGCAAACGCAAGTGAGCAGTTAGAGCTCCATAACTCTGCTGGGATTTCTGTTAACTCAGGTTTAAAAGGACCTGCTACACCAACTTTTACTGGTAGAGGGAACTCACTTGTTCATCATCAAAATTTGGATGGTAGGACTATCTCATACCAAAACTATGGGTTGAATGGGTATGCTGTGAATACTTCTTCACCACCAATGATGGCGAGTCAGCTTGGTAGTGGTAATTTGCCCCCTTTCTTTGAAAATGCTGCTGCTGCTGCACTAGGAGCAAATAGCATGGACTCCGGAGCCTTGGGAGGAGGTGTAGCTTTAGGACCAAATTTATTATCAGCATCAGAATTACAAAATGCAAGCAGGATGGGAAATAATGCTTCAGGTAGCTCTTATCAGGCCCCCTTAGTGGATCCTTTATATCTTCAATATTTATTATCAGGTGAAGTTGCAGCTGCACAGGTTGCAGCCCTTAATGACCAAGCAATAAATAAGGAATGCTCAAATAATTCATTTACAGATTTGCTTGGCCTCCAAAAGGCTTACGTGGAGTCACTGATTGCTCCTCAAAAGTCGCAGTTTGCTGTTCCATACCTTAACAAGTCTCCTAGCCTGAACCACACTTATTTTGGAAATCCAACATATGGTGTGGGAGTGTCTTATCCAGGGAGCCCATTGGCTGGCTCCTTCTATCCAAACTCGCCCCTTGGACCAGGTAGTCCTATGAGGCAAAGTGAGCGGAATATGCGTTTGTCTGGAATGAGGAATGTGACTGGTGGTTTCATGGGAGCTTGGCATTCCGATTCTGTTGGCAACTTGGATGAGAATTTTGCACCATCCTTGTTGGACGAATTTAAAAGTAATAAAACCAAATGTTTTGAACTTTCAGAAATTGCTGGCCATGTTGTTGAGTTCAGGTGCATACTAGTGATCATAGTTTTCTTGTTTGTTGATTTTGAACTAAGATCTAATTGGTGTTTATTGTTTTTCCTTTTCTTGCACAGTGCTGATCAATATGGAAGCCGATTTATCCAACAGAAACTTGAGACCGCCACAATGGAAGAGAAAAACATGGTGTTCAATGAAATCATGCCACAAGCTCTTTCTCTAATGACCGATGTTTTTGGTAATTATGTAATTCAGAAGGTAGTATTTTCTCTCTTTTATATATATCTGAAACATCCTTGATGTGCCATTTGAGTTTGTATAACATTTTTATAGTATGCTCAAGTGAATGAGATATTCCTGTTGGACTTCGTGCTTAACACATGCTGGTTCTTATTCAGTTTTTTGAGCATGGAACATCAGCACAAATAAGAGAACTGGCTGAGCAGCTTACTGGTCATGTTCTGACCCTAAGTCTTCAAATGTATGGCTGCCGAGTTATCCAGAAGGTATTCTTGTTTTATCCGCCGTTGGCTCCTTTAATCGTATGTCACTTTTCATAGAGCACTATGTTGTGGACTTGTTATGTTCTATTTGTTGGAAAGAGGAAGGCTTTTCAAGTTACTGTCTATGAGGAAATTGAGGACAAGTCACACAAATATTCCTCCAACTTCTACATTGTGTCTATATTACTATGTCACTATTAAGAGGTCTGTGGAGGGGCCATGCTGTTAAAACCACTGCAATTTGGTACATTTGTGATGCTATTTTTATGGCCACCCTTCGTGGGTGGTGCGGGTGGAGCTGGTAGCAATCAGATGTTTTAGTTTCTTATTTCCTTAATTTGAAATTGCTAGAATGCCTTAACAGTTTTGGTGAGTATCTGCAGATGAGAGACAATTTTGTTTTGGTTTGACTCAGTCATGTGCAATTATTCCTCATGCATTTCGGCAGATATGTTGACTACTATGGTGCTGTAAATGATGAATGCTGTTTGTGTTGCTTTTTAGGCTATAGAAGTTGTTAACCTGGATCAACAGACTAAAATGGTAACAGAGCTGGATGGTCATATCATGCGCTGCGTACGTGATCAAAATGGAAATCATGTAATCCAGAAGTGTATTGAATGTGTACCTGAAGATGCTATCCACTTTATAGTTTCTACATTTTATGACCAAGTTGTGACATTGTCAACTCATCCATATGGCTGCCGTGTGATACAGGTCAAAGACACCTTTTTTCCCCATAATTTGTGTGTGGGGACTATTTGGCTGTATTGATACTTTGACAGATAATAATGGTAAACCTGAACTTGATAGTTTTCTGTAAACAGAGAGTCTTGGAGCATTGCCATGATCCCAAAACGCAGCAGATAATGATGGATGAGATTCTGCAGTCTGTTTGCTTGTTAGCACAGGACCAATATGGGAATTATGTCGTACAGGTTTGTTATAATTCTCAGTCTTCTTACTTGTATCCACTTGGGGCTAATTCGTGATCTTTTGGTTAATATGTTGGCAATCGCATATTAAATTGTTATTTTGAACAATTTTGGTCTTCTATTTTTATTAATTCATTACGAGTAAAAGTGTATTTGTACATTGTATGAAACATCTATGATGGTTGAGTAATTAAAAAATTTGTGAAGAGAAGGATTCATATCCAATATGCTGAAAAACTTAGTTGTCAGTCCTGGTTTGACCTGGCTTGTTGGACCAGAAACCATCGTTTTGAATCCTAAGTTTCTCCTGTTAGACCATAAGTGCACGAAAGGAGGAATACTTTTGTGTACGTTCATTGACCTGTATGATCAAGCTTGGTCATTATTACTACAACTATATCTTAGCTACCCATCTCAAGTACCCGTGCTGCTCTCATTTGGTTGATCGCCAAGTAAAATATATGAAAAATGTAATTCACTGTGCCATTAGACATCTATATATTCCTGTATAGTTCACTTTTGATTAAGGGCATTTTATCCGACCTTGTTATGCTCCTAACACGAGAAGGTTAAGAAACTTTATGACAATAGTTGACAAGTGACAAAAAGTATTGTATAACCATGCATAATAATGATTAAAGTTTCCTTTTGAGCAAGTGATTATAGTTTATCTTGAATTATGGTGGCTATTAAATTAAAGTCTTTATTACAATAACAAAATAATGGGAAGCCTTATCTCACTAGGTGGAGTCGATTACATAGATTGCACAAGCCTGTTAGCTTTATCGATGACCAAATTGTTGGATATATTGTTAGCTAGCAGGTCCTATTTAGGAATTTCATTGAGTGTTCTCTTTGGTAGTCTTTTACCTCTCTTTACGAGATTCAAAACTGTTTGTTCTATACTCTTCACTAGTGCCTTCAACGGTGTTATGTGTACATGTCTGAATGACCTTGAACAATTTTCTATCATTTACTCTTCAATAGATGCCACGCTAACTCTCTCTCGTATGTTCATTATGAATCTTTTTTTTTTTTTTCCATCTCAACATCTTCATTTTTGCTACCTCAGCTTTATGTTCTTGTTGTTCCTTTAAAGTCCAACATTTATTGCCATATAACATTGTTGATCTTATAATTGCTTAACAAAACTTTCTTTTAAGCTTATTAGGTGCTTTTCAGTTACAAATAACTCTTGTAGCCTTTCTGCACTTGAACCACCTAGTTTGCATTTTATGTGCAATATCTTCATTAATTTCATTGTCATCTTGTATAATTGATCCAAGATATTTGAACTTTGTCATTTGTGATATGACTTGATCTCCTATTTTAACCTTCAAATAACCTTTACCTTGCCTCTTATTAAATTTGCAATGCATATATTTTGTCTTACTCTTGAAGAATCAAGAAAATGCAGCTTGTATAATTGATCCTTGATGCAAGCCAATCCTTATAGAAAAGTCTTGTCTCACCTCTACACATTCTTTCATTAGTTGTTGCCCCCTCGTACATATCTTATGTAACTTTGATACATGCAACACACTTCTCTTTTCTAAAGCTTTGCAAAGCACTTCTCTTGGTACATGATGATAAGCTTTTTCCAAGTCGATGGAAACCATATCCAAGTCTCTTTGCTTTGGAACTTTTCCATTTATGTCTTTAGTAAAGAGACCACTTCTATTGTAGACCTTATTTCCAAATTGGTTCTCAAAAATACGAGTGTTCAATTACTCTTTTCCACAATTTCATTGTATGGCCCATAAGTTTTATCCTTTTGCACAATAACCAAAAAAGCCTTATCCTACTAGGTGATGTCGGCTATATGGATTGCCCATACTCAACCAACGACTTGATGAAATCCCCACTGAAGTGTTAAGGCCAAAAGGGTGTGTCGTAGCTAACTAAATTATTTAATGAGATTTTATGGTCCAAGAAAATGCTTGATGAATGAATGACAAGCACTTTAATTCCTATTTACAAGAATAAAAGGTCTATTCATAATTGTGCAAGCTACAAAGGGATCAAACTTGGTAGCAATGATGTTTGCCTTGGTTTGATGGCTATTGAAGAAGCAAGGACATGGATTGATCGACTGAATACTGTTAAAACGTTAGGGTCATTGTTCTTATAATAGAACAATTTCTGACTACTTTCTGAAGTGTGAATTAAGGTAGTTAGGGAGGGAGACTACGAATTGATGTAAGTCAGATAGATGGCCCAAATTTGATGCTTAATAATTTGATCAGAGTGTTTGATGGAATAGTTGGTGAATGCGTGCTTATTTCAGAGTTGAATTTCTTTTGTCTTTTTAGACTGAACTAGCTTTAAAATATCTATACTCTTTTCTAAAGTTTCTAGTTGCTCGGCATGGAATTCAGACTTTCTTTGAGCTCATTTGGGTTATTCTGATTATTGCATAAAATTCAGCACGTGCTGGAGCATGGGAAGCCACATGAACGTTCAGCTATTGTGAAGCAATTAACTGGGCAAATTGTGCAGATGAGCCAGCAGAAGTTTGCCTCTAATGTTATAGAGAAGTGTCTAACTTTTGGAACGCCAACAGAACGCCAGACCCTAGTGAATGAGATGCTTGGTTCCACTGATGAAAATGAGCCCTTACAGGTTTGTGGTCCCTATCACTGGGGAAGTGAAGCTCTTTTCTTGTTTGTATCATGTTTCTCTGAGGTTTAGAATCTTTATGATGTCCAATGCTTTCATTTAATTCTCATATCCCACTTAGTGCTAGTTTGGATTTGCTTATTTTAAGTGATTTTACACTATTGGCCAAGAAAAAGTGATTTTATGTTTTACGAGGTAAACTCGTGAGAGGAGTTTTATCTCATTAAATGCAAATATAATTATTTGTTGTGAAACCAAATGGGCACTTATGTGCCTTTCAGAGTGGTTTTTATGATCTCTTAATTTCCCAATATTGAAAGTATACATGTGATGCTACAAGGGGAGATAAAACAGCATTCCAGATCATTGAGTGTGCTCAATGAGAGGTTTTGATAATCGATCAAGTGTTGAGATGGTTGATCATGGTTATAGGGGAACTGAATTTGTTTTGTCATGGTTAGAAGTTCTGCATTCATGCTGGCATAATATTCATAATATAACAATTTAGTTGCATCATGTGTATTTCTTTTGAAATCTGTTAGCAAGAGACAAGCTTTAACATGGGGAACAGGATGGGAAGGTTAACTCTTACTCACAGAAACTCTTTCTTGATTTTGGTGCTGTAATTATATTATGTTCTTACTTAAGGTTAAGATTTTGTGTAATTTCGTTGTATATCAGATTTTCTCATCTTTTGCTTGGTCTGTTGGTTGTAGGTGATGATGAAAGATCAGTTTGCGAACTATGTTGTACAGAAGGTGCTGGAAACTTGTGATGACCAGCAGCTTGAGCTCATCCTTAATCGAATAAAGGTTCACCTGAATGCGTTAAAGAAGTATACTTATGGGAAGCACATAGTTGCACGTGTAGAGAAACTGGTTGCTGCTGGAGGTACGAGTCATTTTTCTAATTTCCCTCCTCTCATTTTGGGTCAAACTTATGAATTGAGTATCATGAATCTGAACACGCTCTGTTAATGCTTGGGCTATTCATTAATCATTTTCGTTAATATTATGCTCGATGAAATCCGTTTCTTCCATCCTAAAGAATATGCAGAGTAGACTATCCAGTGCATTCTGATCACTTCTATTTCTGTGTAATGAATTTTTTTCAAAGAACAGAACGGAAGTTTTATGGTGTCTGTTCACTTATCATTTAGTCCTGAAAAATATCAGTCTGTCAAATATTCATTGGAAAACCTCTCAATTGCTTCCTCTCACGTATTAACACATGATTTTTGCATTTGAATGTATGCAGAAAGGAGGATTAGTCTGACTCTTCATCCTGCACAGGTCGTATAGGAAGTAAAATTATTGTATGGCTAACTGAGTATAATACAAGCTCCTTCTCTTGTTAATTTTCGCATCTGGCGGCTTCCATCTGTCAGTTTGGTTCTGACTGGTGGGAGCTGATCGAGAATAAGGAATCATGGGGTGTACTCAAAACTGTATATTTGCTAGTTTGAGGGTATATATTTATGTCTAGAATGAGAATCACGTTAGCTGACGCCGGGGCTGTGAATGATGACGCCTGATGCCCAAGAAGAGATAAATTTGTTCCCTAGCTTTTTATCAGGTTGTAAAGGTAGGTGGTTTTTTCCTTCACGATTGTGACTGTAAAAAGAATGTTCTACTAAGTTGCGAGATCCCTTGTGTTTGAGACCCACAATTTTTTGTGGTGCATGAGATTTCCATTTTGCCCTTCAGTTAATCTACTTTTCCTTCTCTCAGTAGTTTTTCATTCTGTCATTAGCGCTGTTTTCTTGGCCTTTACATGACTGGAGATTGTATGTACACTACTAAGTTAAAATCTGAAAGATGTCACTATACTAAGGTTGATTATAAGGATTAAGGGTTAATTCATTTGATATGGAGGTTGGTAGTACGGCTAAGTCTCTTGTTAACTTGAGCACTGCTCGAATGTGAGAGAATTGAGGAGGAAAAGGTGCGGCAGAATATTTAACTTGATCACTGCTCGAATGTGAGAGAATCAAGGGCTTTTCCATCGAGCTTCCTGCTTACGAAGTGCCTTACATAGTCGATGTACTTGATGCTCCTGTACACGGCAGAAGCATCAAGCAGCATTAGGTCCACTGGATCCATTTCTGCTTCATCATGTGGGAACACACGTTGCTATTGAAATTCTTCTGCTGCTTTCATTTGTAATTACTCTCTGCTGAACGCTCTTGCACCTTCCATTGCTCCAAAGCTGCATTTTTGGGTCCAATTCATGATCTCACAGACCAAATGAGTTCTGAAGGATGGAGATGGATGAATTGAAATTGTTGGTATTTTTTTGCCCGATGCTCGCCAACATTAACAACAAAAGCGTTGGGAAGGGGGTTGATAGGAATCCAATGGCAATTGGAAGAACAGTGATATGATCATGCAGGAGAATGGTTATGGTGCTCCCATCGAAGTGAGGACTGATACCAAGAACAAGGTCAGGTTTGGGGCATGGTGGATAATAATTCATACGCATGCCAAGTCTTGCCACTTGGTGCAGCTGTTTTTACTTCGTCTTCATTCCCAACAACACTGATAAAATTCCCAAGTATCTCTTCACTTACCCTGCTTGCTTCTCTCGCATTGTATTCTAATGTCTCCCTGCCCATGATAGTTTCTTTATTGTTAAAAAAATGAGAGCAAATAGCAACAATGAAAATGTAAAGAATAGACTTTGGACATAATATATACCTGAAACATGGTACCGTAAGTGGCCGGTACTTCGAGATTTCTATCTCGAGGAGGGTTGGTCATGAGGATCATAATGTCTGGCCAATCCAATTTCTGATCTTGAGACAAAACAAAGGCTTGTCCGTATCCCTGTATGTCATTCTCTGCCATCGAATATTTCTGCTTTTCAATTTCCAGATCAAAAAATCCTGTCCCTGCATCCTCCTCCTCGTGCATCAACTCTTCTCCCACTGCATGATTTATTATCTATATAAATAATTTCAGAGACCGCATTTAGAATTCTCCAGCACAATGGGAAGCAAAGAATCTTACAAACATCAAGTGATATATTGAGTGGATGCACGTAGAAGAGAACCCATTCTTTGCAGGCAAAATCGAGCTTCTTTTGTTCACGTTGGCCAGCAATGAGAAATCTATCGCCGGAATTTCAGAAGAAATATGAGGAAGTTGATTAAAAACTGGTCTCTTTCTTGGTCTCATATATCTGTGAGGAACATTGTGGGGGTCATCTTCACCATCTCTTGTACACGTGGCACTGGTAGGGATTTTCCCTACCCCAAACCACCATCTTTTTCCCCGTTGCTTTTGCTTTCTGACATCAATTGTTGCTACCCTGTTCCTAAATCCTTGCTCACCTGGAAAATCAAGCTTTTCCTTTTTGTTTTATAGTTCAATCTAGTGGTGGATCGAACCCGTCTCATTGGTTTGCTTAGCCGGCCTTCAGTTTGGATATTCTAGTTAAGAACAGAAGAGGAATCCATGTGTAATGTCTAAATTGTTGTGATCAGATTCCTCGTTGAAACATGCCAACATTTTTAAAATAAATTACTATCTCTGGTCCTTGATATAAGAATTAGTTTGGGGTTAGATATGATCCTAAATATAAGACCTTAGTTTATTTTGTCTCTCAAATACATATTTTTTCCCTCTAAAATATTTTTATTGATTATAAGAAATTTCCACAAAAAAATAGTTCTAATGTACATGAGATGGTAATGTAGAAAAGTCAATATATGTTTGTTACAAATAAACAGTTTTACTAATTTTATTAATTTCTCTCAATTGAAAAAGCTTATGATAATTATATGTGGGAACAATACTAAACGCTTTGAAGAAAGAAGCACATAGTTAGAAAATGAACTTAAGATCAGTACTTTCTAGTTGGAAAATGAAAGATGCTAATATTAGTCTAATATTTAAGCTTGATTATAAGTATTGAGGATTGAATTATTTGATACAATATAGGCTAAAAGTTAGACTTATCAATTGGGTCTGACTTGTTGGACCTTTAGCTTCAATTTTTTTTTTTTTTAAGGGCAAGCCTTTGTAAATTGGGGATTTTTAGTGTAAATTGGCTTTTCGGCGTGATCTTTAAGGTTACGTTTGGTATGAAGTATTAAAAATGAGGGGTAAAGATTGAGATTGGGGTTAAAAATATGTTAAAAGGATGCTTGACATGAATGATTTCTGATCACATAGGATTAGGCGATCCCATATAGATAGGATTGGAGAATACCACCTCCCCTCATGATATTCGCCAATCCCACATATATAGGTTTGTCTAATCTCAAATATCATACAATTATTCATGCTAAACACTTTTTTACTATAGTTTTGCATTTTCTATTTCAATCCTTATCCCTCATTGTTAATGCTTTGTATTAAACGGGACTTGAGAGTCTTGTACCTGTATCACTCAGCTTAGCACTTATTTTGGTCCTTTAATGTATACATTGATTTTTTGTTTATTGGAATCTATATATTTGTTATAATTATAATGAACAACGATAAGCTTTGTTTTGTTTTGTTTTTAAATAAAAAAGTTATTTGAGCTTTCAGCTCGGCTCTAAGCCTGATCAATTAGGAGCGTACCTAGAAAATATTCAAGGTAAGGCTTATAAACTCGAGCCCATGTATGTTGAGCTGGCATAGCTAAATCTCTTGTTAACTTCTCGAATATGAAAGAACTAGAGGTAAAAAGGGGTAACATAATTTTAGTTGGCCTACTCTAAATTGGTATTATGAGTTGGCTTGTAGCTTAAGAAAATCAAGGGCTTTCCCATCAAGTTTCCTGCCCATGAAATGCCTCATATAGTCAATACACTTGATGCTTCTGTACATGGCAGGACTATTGCGCAACATTGGCTCCGCTGGACCCATTTCTGCTTCATCATGTGGACTCACCAACATAGCTATCGAAATTCTTGCTCTGCTTTCATTTGTCACTGCTCTGTGCTGAACGCTCTTGTACCTCCCATTGCTCCAAACCTGCATTATTGTATCCAAATCATTATCTCATAGCTAATATACCATGTTTGAATTAGAAGACCATAAATTGAAATTGTGGGTACCTCAAGAGTATCACCAACATTAACAACAAAAGCACCAGGAAGAGGTTTGACAGGAATCCAATGGCCATGGTGATGAATCCGAAGAGCAGTGATGTGATCATCTTGCAGAAGAATGGTTATGGTGCCACTATCAGAATGGGGACTGATACCAAGAACAAGATCAGGTTGGGACATGGTGGATAGTAGTTCATACGCACTCCTAGTTTTACCACTTGGGGCAACTCTTTTAGATCTTCCTCTTCCATTCCCATCAACACTGATAAGTTCCCAAGTATCCCTTCACTTACCCTGCTTATTTCTCTAGTGTACTCTTCCGATGTCTCCCTGTTCATGTGGGTTTCTTTTTTCTTAAAAAGTGAAACTTTGGAAACAATTTCTACAAATAGCTACAATGGCTGAAAAAGTAAAGAAGAAACAATTTCTACAAATAGCAACAATGGCTGAAAAAGTAAAGAACATGAGCATTGTAACACATACTTGAAACCTATTACTGTAAGTGGCCAGTACTTGAGATTTCTATATTGAGGAGGGTTGGTCATGAGGATCATAATGTCAGACCAGTCCAATTTCTGATCTTCTGACACTACAAAGGCCTGTCCGTATCCTTGGATGTCATTTTCTGCCATTGAACATTTCTGCTTTTCCTCCATTCCCAGATCAAAGAATCCTCTCCCTGCTTTCTTCATCTTCTGCATTAAATCTTCTCCCACCCCATGATTTATTATCTATATATGTATTTTCAGAGGCTGTGCTTAGAATTTTGGAATGCATGAGGTATCAAATAATCTTACAAACTCCGAATAAAAATTTTCACTGGGTATACCTGGAAGAAACCCCATTCCTTGCAGGCAGAATCGAGCTTCTTTTGTTCATGTTGATCTCTTTTGGCCAGCAATGAGAAATCTAAAACAGGAATTTCAGAAGAAATTGGAAGAAGTTGATCCAAAACTGGTCTCTCTTCTTGGTCTCTTATGTATCTGTGAGGAACATTGTGAGCATCATTCTTCACTATCTCTTGCACACGTGGCACTGGTAAGGATTTTGCGCACCCTAAACCCTCGTCTTTTTCCTTGCAGCTTTTGCTTTCTGATTTCATTTCCATTGCTCTCTGGTTCCTTTTCTCACCTTCAAAATAAAGCTTTGCCTTGTTGTTTTATAGTACCATCTGGTGTTAGGATTGGACCCTTTTTCATTGGTTTGTCAGCCGACCTTCTTCTTCGAGGTTCTAAATAAAAAAAATAAATAAATAAAAGAGGCATCTGTGTGTAATTTGGAAACATTTTAGTGATCAGATTCCTCATTAAAAATCGTCAAATGTGCCCAAGCTGGGTGATACTATATTGTTTCTCAAGTGAGGGAATGAAGGTGGTCACATGGATTTAGAGACAGCGATGCATATTTGAAAATTGAAAACATTTTAAAGAATCCAATGTATGACGTGCCAACAATAAGCAAGTGTATACTTTTTAATGAAAGTAAATACTTATTATATTTTAATTAAAAAAGGTTTATGATAATGATATATGGAAATAGTGTTTAAATTTAAATATTGAAGCATGTGCTCATAAAAATTGCACATTTTACCTTTTTTTTTTTGTTTTTTTAACTGTTATGTGGATTGATTGGGTTATGATTTTCAACTTATCAAATCGAGTTAAATTGGCTAATTCATTCAATCTACGATTCAAGGTGGGTGGCCTGTTTAACTCATATAGACAATTTTAACGATTCTAGTTACTTGATTATGTTTGTACTTTTTTTTAATAAAATTTTTGCATTGGATGTTACGCAAAAAGCAAAATCAGTCTCACCACTGGTAGGTTTTGGCTAATTAAAATTGAATGTTCAGTGAAATTTGAAAGAATGTAGGACTCAAACCCTTCTAATTGTTAACAATATAAGAAGAAATTGGGAGAAAAATCCTCCATCAAGAATTTTATTAGCGAGAAGGTACCAAAATTAAAATACCAATACTTTATTTGTACAAAATTTACAAAATATTAATACTTTCTGAATATAAAAATGACTAACTGGATATGACACTACCTCCAATCCTTGATATAAGAGCTAGTTGATTAATTTGAATAGATTAAGAAAATTAGTTATGTTAGTTATTTGTGATAAATAGGTGTTGTCTTTTCTAAAATACTTTTGTTAATCATGTATATTAGTTAGAACTACCATTTAATGAAACATTTAACATATATAACTATTACAAGGACTAGCTTGAAAAAAATAGATAAATATAAGAGACAAAGTGAATTGAAGTCTTACATGTAGGACCAAATTGAATGTCCAACTAACTCTTATATTAAAGACAGAACGTATTATTTTAGTTTTCGGTCAAAAAATATGATACTTCAGTTAATTTTCACTTTTGGAGGCTGGCGGTGCATGAGATTTCATTTTTGTTCTTCTCTTTATCCATTTTTTCCTTGTGTCTCTCATGTTGATATTGCCGCCTTGCTTTATAGTAACTATACTGTGATACTCTCGGGTTAAATATATTCATAGGTTTTAATAACTAATTTGTCAATAAAATATAGGGATTGGGTGTATGATTAGGCCATATTTGGAAAGCCATTACAAATGAGCCTTCAACTTGCAACTTTTGAGATAAGCTTAATTTCACATTATTTCGGTACTCCAGACCAATTCAAGAAAATATTTTTATAATACTACTCCCGATCTTTAATATAAGAGCTAATTGATAAATAGATTAAAAAAATCTAGTTAAGTTAATTATTTATAATAAAGAGATGTTTTTTTAAAAATATCTTTGTTAGTTAAATATATTAGCTAGAACTACTTTTATTATAAGAATTGACTTAGAAAATAAATAAATAAACAAATATGATAGATAAAATAGATTACAGTCTTATATTTAGAATCAAAATAAAAGTTAAACAAACTTTTATATTAAAAAGTAGAGGCACTGAGACGGTATATTGACGAAAGAGCGTGGAAAAAGAGATGCAACATGATTAGAACTTGTATTGGGCGTGTGTTTTTCAAATTGATGGTATTTAGGAGTTGGCGTGAATCTTAAGAAAGTCAAGGGCTTTGCCATCAAGTTTCCTGCTCAAGTAGTGCCTGGCATAATCAATGCACTTAATTGTTGTGTACAAGGCAGGACCATGACGCAGCATTGGTTCCAATGGACCCATTTCTGCCTCATCATGTGGAGCCACAAACATTGCTATTGACATTCTTCCTCTGCTTTCATTTGTCACCGCTCTGTGCTCAACACTCTTGTACCTCCCATTGCTCCAAACCTGCATTTCTCAATCTCATAGGATAGAACTAGGATTAACTAATATATTATCTCCAATCATTAATATAAGATCTGTTTAACTAATTTAGATAGATTAAGAAAATTATTTAAATTAGTTATTTATTAAAAATATGTTAGCTTTTTTAAAATACCTTCTTAAATCATTTGAATTGAAATTATCTTTAATGCAAACTCTCTTTATATGTACAATCAATAGGGTTAGTTTGGATAAATAAGATGGGCAAAATAAATTTGAGTCATATATTTAGAAGTAAGTTCAACTCTTTACTAGCTCTTATACCTCCGGTCTTAAATATAAGAACTAATTTGTAGTGTAATTTACACTACAATATAACTCTTATATTTAGAACTGGTAATAGTATTAGGGACTAGAGGTAGTATGAAGTTTGTATAGGTTCAGTGAAAAGTGTGTGTAAGTGTGAGTGTGTGTGTGTAGCATAAGATTGAAAACTTGTGGGGTCATGGTCTGTGCCAGTCTTGGACGAATTGAAATTTGCTGGGGCTTACCTCAAGAGCATCGCCAACGTTAACAACGAGAGCACCGGGAAGAGGTTTGACAGGAATCCAATGGCCATGGTGATGAATCTGAAGAGCAGTAATGTGGTCATCTTGCAGAAGAATGGTTATGGAGCCACCATCAGAATGAGGACTGATACCAAGAACAAGGTCAGGTTTAGGGCATGGTGGATAATAGTTGATACGCATTGCTAGCTTGATATCTTGGTGCAACTCTTTGAGGCCTTCCTCTTTCAGTCCCATCAATACTGAGAGATTCCCAAATATCTCTTCACATACCCTACTTATTTCGATTGTGTATTCTTCCACTGTCTCCCTGACCACACAGGTTTTGAACAAGAAAAGGGGAAAGACATTGATATGTAACATGAAACATGAGAGAACAATTAGTGTAGGAGTACAAGGTCAGTGATCAGTTACATACTTGAAACCTGGTACTGTGAGTGGCCAGTATTTAAGGTTTCTGTATTGAGGAGGGTGGGTCACGAGAAACATGAGATCAGCCCAATCCAATTTCTGATCTTCCGAAACCACAAAGGCATGCCCATATCCCTGTATGTCATTTTCTGCCATTGTATATTTCTGCTTTTCCTCCATTTCCAGATCAAAGAATCCTGTTCCTGCATCCTTCATCTTCTGCATCAACTCTTCTGCAACCCCATGATTTATTATCTGCACAAATAGCTTTATAAGTAATCAAAGAATCTTATTCTTAAACGACAACTGAACCATAAATGGGAGTACCTGGAAGAAACCCCAATCCTTGCAGGCGAAATGGAGCTTTTGTTGTTCATGTTGGTCTCTTTTGGCGAGCAATGAGAAATCTATGATGGGAATTTCTGCAGAAGTCGGAGAAAGCTCATCCAATACTGGTCTGTCTTTGGGGTCTCTGATGTATCTGCGAGGAATAGTGTGAGAGTCATTCTGGACCACCTCTTGCACACTGGGCACTGGTAAGGATTTTCCCCAGCCTAAGCCACCATCTTTCTCTATGTTGCTTTCAGATTTCATTTCCATTGTCGCTCTTTTGTTGCTTTGTTTGCATCAAACTCAAGCATTTCTCGTGGTTTTATCCATCAAGGCGATGTACGGATGAACTCCTCTTCCTTGGAATACTCAGCCGACCGGCCTTTTTATGATGTCTTTAGCCCCCCCCCCCCACGCTTTAAAGCCAAAAAATGAAGGGCATAAAATAGACTCATCAAATGTAAATATCTTCAATTTTATAACAGTTTTTTTTCTCTATTTTCACAATTAAAAAACTTCCACTAAGCTTAAGAGAAGTTCGCATAATTTATTTTTATATTAAAAAGACATTTTGTATGAATCTGTAAAGCGAAGTTACCCAAAAAAAAAAAAAACTTGGTTTTCTTTGCTTCCTCCTTGACTTTGTATGTTCCGCGGCCGGCTTTCCTTTTGGGATCACTTGTTGGTGTTTAAGGTTCCAATAATAAGTGTACAATTTTTAATGAAGCCCTCTTGAGGTCATCAAATTGATGTATTGAGCCGGGCACTGGACCAAGAGTGTTTTTTTTTTTTAATAGTTTTTAATTAATTATATATTTTTGTACTTAGTTTTGATTAAAAAAATTATGACAATGATATAACGTGCCGTTGTATTTTTTTTTTTTTAGCTTCTCATGGAAGAGTTCAAAAGTTTTTGTTTCAAACCGTGGGCCAATTAATCTATTTGTACCAAAGTGTTTTTTTATAATTAGGCTAAAGTATATTTTTTGTATTTTAATTTCATGCAAGGTTTTATTTTGATCCCTTAACTTTAAAAAGTAAACTTTTAGTCTTCTAATCCTAGAACTGTTAACAAAAAATAATAATATTGAACTCTTAATTGTTGGTAAAACATTACTAAATGCTATAATATTAAGTTTAATTTTCAAAATAATCATGATTGTTACAAAAATCATCACTTAAAACTAACAATTTTAGGGTTAAAGAACTAAGAGTATACTTTTTAAAGTTAAGGATCCAAATTGAAACTTTATGTAAAGTTAAAAGACCAAATGTATATTGTAGCTTTATAATTATTAATGAACTTCTTATTTAATTAATTATTTTATTGATTTTATTTATAATGTACTATCAACATATTTAACACTTCTAGCTTGTAATTAATTAGTGCTAAAATTAAAAGTAGCAGAAATGATGATATAATGCAGTGAAACAAAATTATCCTATCGGCGGTAAAGAGAAAGAATAATAACAATATAACAAAATTATTCCATCGAAACAAAATAAACAGTAACCAAAAAAAAAAAAAAACCTATACGCAGAAATGAGATGAAAACTGGTGGAAAGCATGTTTGAGATTATATATAAATATATAACCTCATCATTAACTGTCTTGTTCATGGAAACTGAAATGATCATAATCAGGAATGAGGACGAGGCCAGATTCTATGTTGGCAAGATCTTCCAAAAGAATCTGATAATGCAGTACCACTTCATCCACTGACTTGTCTCCCAGATATCGAGCTATGGCTTGCCAACGATCTGGTCTGTCTTCTTCAACATTGGCAAGCGCAGTTTCAAATAACTTGTTCTGTTTCCATGTCCATGACGATGATGTCTTTTCTCTCATGTTCTTCCCCGTCCTCGTCCTTTCTTCACTAATTGAGCTTGATCCCATGATTAATTAGATCGAGATTGGAATATGATGTTTGCAATTTAAAATGGTGTGCGTGTGTGTGTCTATAAAAATATAAATATGTATATATATATAATGGCGAAACTGTTTTTGAGTGTCTGTTTCTAAGACCTATCTGTAATTCTTTCTGATAAGCACGTATAGATGTAGTCAGTATCTGAGTAGATCATAGTTATCTGCATCTAACAAGAAAATTTTAAGCAAATTAATTATCAGGCAAGAGATAGAATTATATTACACTACTACTGGAATTAATGATAAAATGAATTGATGGTAAAAAATAAAGAGACTTAATATGTAAAGTATTGGCATGGTATTTGCCTCGAGAAATAAAATTGAATAAAAGCAGAAACCCGGAATTGAGATTTCCAGATTTAATTTCAATGACTCAGTCATGACTCATGAGGCCAAGGGCTTAATTTTGACATTTTTCGTAATCATTCTGGGAATTACGAAGATGATTTCGTCAGTGTCGACTTTATCTTCAGTTTATCGAATTTTTTTGTAATCAAGATAAAATGAAAATTAAAAAGTAGGTATTATTGTTTTATTACTAATTATTATAGTCATGGTCGTTTTTTTTATTTAAATAACTCGTTTGCTTTAGTTTTTCAAATTTCTTATTTATTGGCAGTAATCCTCATGAATCGGATAATTTCCGATGAAATTATCTGTAAAAGATATGTTTGTTTGTTTGTTTGCTTGCTTGCTGGCTGGCTGCCCTATCATTATCATGTTCTTATCTTAGTTTATGTATATGAATACGTGCTGGGGCAAAAAAAAAAAAAAAACGGAGAATAGTTGTATCGGATACGATAACAGTTTATGTTCATCTTGTGCTGTAACGATTCTCAGTTCTACAGGCTACACAATTCTCAGTTCTACAGTCTACACAATTCTTTTATATATTATTGTTGAGATCATTCAATGTATTGAATAAATTTTCCTTTCAAATTTTTCAAACGACTCAGAAGTCAAATATCAAGAAAATTACCATATTGCTATTTTTTTCCATTTCTTTATTTTTCTTAAAATTTTATTCAATCATGTTTTTCATTAACCGGGCTAAATAAAATAATTAGTGAAGTCTTCCCTTAATTAGCATATATGATTGTTTGGGCAGAGGTAAAAAAGAATATTTATAAAAAAAATATGGATTTTTCTTTTGGACAACTAATTGATTCTCAGAAGCACATCCTATGATGCAAGGCATAATAAAAAGGATTAAATCAAGAGCTGAGACACATGTATATAGGAAGCAAAGAGAAGATGACGATTTCAAGGAGACATGGTCAACTTACAATATTACACAAAAACCATGAAGGATACTCATCCAAATATGAAAAAGTAAAATATAAAAATATTATTTTGATATTGTCTCAAATATAAAAACAGCAACTTGGACGACTTTTCCAGCTAACACGAACGAGAGAATGCTTAGAATTGATATAAACAGCTTCCATCATCACTCCTTGCAGTTGGGTCAAAGTTTGAGGCAGTTGGATCAGTACATCCTTCTGGAACTGGTAAGTTTACTTGCTGTGCTGCTTGGCCTGCATCACAAATAACACAACCTCCTCAAATTCCATCCTCTAATCACCATCTTTCTTAATTTTGATTTCTTTCATAACACATTTTGTTACTCCCCTGGTCCTAAAGATAAACTCGAATTAGATAGAAAATTAGTTCTGAATCTTAAATATAATACCTTAAGAAAAAATGATAAAAAAAGAAGTTAAAAATTATTAAATACCAAATAAGAAATATCAATAAAAATTTGTTATTATTTACAAATTCAGTGTTGTAAATACCAAATAAAGTGTTGTTATTAAACCTAATTTGAGATTTTGTATTTTTCAGTTTCTTTTTTTTATTATTTTCCCATACCTTAACTCATTTTTTTCCCTCATATCTAACCGTATTTTTTTTTTAATAATGAGCTAATTTATTTGGCTTTCTTCGTTAATCAAAATGTAGGTGCGGAGGATAAATATAAGAAGGAACAAATGGGCAAACCTCCCCATGTGAGGGCCAGCACGAGGGAGGGGGAGCTAACCATAGAAAGTTCCTCTTGAAATAGAATCTTGGTTGGCTTCACCAAGGGCAGCCTCGCTGAGGTACTTGTCAGCCAATTGGACTCTCTTCACATTCTCTTGTTCTTGCACCAACATGTTTCCGTACTCCAGCAGCTTTTCCACTGTCATCCTTGGCTGCTCAAATGTCGGCGGCCCTTCCTTTGAGTTCACCAGCTTCTTTCCCACGCTCTCCACTCCAATCCCAGAAATCCACTTCCTCACTTCATCATCATACACTCTCGCCCTCAATGCTCCGAAGAAATCTACACAATAAACCCACACACATATATCAGTATGTTATATGTATATATATGTGTATACTCAAGAGAATTAATGTGTATATATGTGAATGATAAACGCATTTATATATACCAATGGATTGGCCGGGGAAGGTGTCGACGATCTTGACGATGTCTTCGTCGGCGACGCCGTCGGTTCGGAAGATTCCCTTGCAGACACCGATACGGTCGTCCCTGGTGGGGGCCCAGTAGAATTTCTCCATACGACCGTCACGGATGAGGGGAGCGTAGAGGGTGGAGAAGTCGTTACCGGTGACGATGATGGGGACACGTGGGTTGTCTTCCTTGTTGTACATACCTGGGAGTTGCACGTTGGTGGGGTTGTCGGCGATGTTCATGAGGGTGGCGTTCACCATCTGGTTGTTCACTGTGTATTGGGTGGTTCCGCCCATACGACCAGCTCCGGCGTCGAGATCGTTGATGAACAGACAGCACATCTTTCCCTTCTTGATTATGTCCGCTGCTTCACGATATCTTTGTCTGATCAGTTTTGCTGGCTCTCCGGCGTTCCCACTCTCCAGCTCTCCGGCACTCATCATGATGGGGCTGCAAATATATAACATCTAGACGTGTCAAGAAACAGAGTATTTGTGTGTATCAGAGCATAGCTTGGAAGCAGAGAAAGATAAAAGCCACAACATTGGCATTGAGACATGATATTTGGAAGAATCTAATATAGAAGTGTTTGATACATGTACGAATCTTCTCAAGTGATATATGCAATTTGAGGCAGAAGATTCTCAAGTGGATCTTCTAAAGTGTTGGAAGATTCTAATATTGCAATTTGGGGTTGTCAATTGAAATCCCGACTACTTGGTTCAGCTTAGTGTGGAATATAGGAATATGTTGGTATTTTAAGAGTGATATATGGCATTTGAAAAGAGCTTGAAAAGAGTAAGGGACACTGTGTCTAGTAAAAGGTACTGATTTCTTAAAATATGATAAACCAAAGTTTAAATCTTCACTAAAAGAGGTAACTGT